TTAGATGCAACAGGAATTGTCTAAGGCAGGGGTCTGCAACCTTTAAGACATAAAGAGCCACTTGGACCCGTTTCCGAGAGGGAAAAAAAGACTGGGAGCCGCAAAATCATTGCAACATTTAAAACAAAATCCGACACTGCATATATTGCAAAAAGCGCTCTGGTCATGAAGGGGGTTTAAGGGCCCAGTAAGCAAAGGGTTAATCAGGGCCACAGTGTATCATCATAATCACAATCATAGCCTTAGGTCAGTGGTGGGCAACTTTTTTTTTCAACTGAGCCAAATCTCGCCAAAACCACGATTAAAATTTATTTTGAGAGCCACATTTTTAAAACTGAAAATACATCCCCCATATAGTAATTCATCCCCCATAGTAATTCATCCCCCCTATAGTAATTCATCCCCCATATAGTAATTCATCCCCCATAGTAATTCATCCCCCCTATAGTAATTCATCCCCCATATAGTAATTCATCCCCCATATTGTAATTCATCCCCCCTATAGTAATTCATCCCCCCTATAGTAATTCATCCCCCCCTATAGTAATTCATTCCCATATTGTGTCAATTCACTTACCTGTACTCCGCGCGTTCCTCTCGCCGTGTTCCCGCGCAGTTCTGGTCTTCAGGGCGGACTGTGAGAGGAGAGGAGTTCGTCACGCTGCCCCGCCTACATCCTGACAGCCAATGTTTGCCACGCTCCGCGGGCCGGATTATAAGGTCCGCCGGGCCGTAGTTTGCCCTTTGCTAGGCTAGCTGAAGAGTCCTGACTTTTGGGGCGGCCGCCCGAGAGGAGGGAGGGGAGCGGCGCCCGGCACACAGAAGAGCTGCATTAACCTCCCTGGCGGTATGATTCCTTCCGATTTTTTGTGCTGAAAGCGGTACCATTTTTTCGCATGGAAATAGTTTTTTATTGTAGGCTGTAATTTTTAGGAAAATTTCCCCACAAATCATTATCACTCAATTCTGCAAGTGGTTCTGATTTACTATCGCTGTTCTCTAGCCGGTCTAAAACCGCTTTTGACCTAAAGGGACGCTTTTTGGACGCCATGGACTTTTCTAAGTTTCCAGGCAGAAAGAACAGACAAAATGCAGGCAGGGCGCCGGACAAAGCACTAGGGACAATATGTATGTGAAATGGGATGAAACAGCAATGTTTTACTATTGAAAATTGAAAAAAAAAAAAAGACATTTTTTAAATTTTTTAAATTTCCCGCCGCCGGCGGCGCCCGTACGTCCCGGGGACCGGAAACACAGAAGCCGGATGCCGGCATCGGCCGGAGGAGATGTCCGGGGACGCTGCAGGGGACACATCGCGGGAACGAAGGACAAGGTAAGTGCTGCAGGGACCCCCAGAGCAGCGCCGCATGGTAAGCCCGAGTGTAGCTCGTGGTATAGAAATTCTACCACGAGCTACACTCGGGAAAACCGCCAGGGAGGTTAAAAGAGCCGCGGCTTGCCGACCACTGAGCTACGGCAACCCTATTGCCTGTCACCTGGTGGGCAGTGTGCTCCGGAGCTGCAGCAAAGGTGAAAAAAGAGCCGCATGCGGCTCTGGAGCCGCGGGTTGCCGACACCCGGTCTAAGGCATTGCAAAAATAGATGGTAAGGATAAGACCCTTACTAATTTTCTCTCTTCAAGAGCTTTTTAAAAAAACACTTTTTTTTTCGCTGTCTTCTATGACTTTCACACAAGTAGGTATTCTGCATTGGACCATGTGCTATTGAATCTTGAAGAAACTATATGCTGCTCAATATTTCTCGTTGCTAAATTCAAAGAGGTAACCGAGTGAGAATTTTAACTTGCAGACTTCCACCCATCCATTTTTCAGTTTTGAGTGTATATGGCCTTTATAGTAGCCCTTTAGTTTCCCCTAGTCCTGTAAGGTGGCAGCCCTCAGGTTCCTGCATGTACCCTTCACAAAAGTGTTTTTGGAAGATTATAATCAACCAATACAGAAATCTCAATTTCTTCCACGAAAGCTGAAATATTCCCTTCACACTTCCCTAAGACCATTGTTCATCCTTCCAGTTATTGGTTGGTCTTAGTGTCCAATGACTCAAATGGAAGAACCAAAAGGAAGATGTGGAAGGGGCATGCAGACCCATGTTTCAATGGAAAAACTCTAGATGTGCATATTAGAATGGATCAGATGTCATGGGCACTCCAAAAATAGTAAGAAACAAAAAAAAGTGTGGATTGTTTATGCTAAAATGAAAAATCTACAGACTTGCTAGCACAACATTCATCATATATATTCATTTATATATATTAAATCTATTTTCATGTATTTGTTTGCATATATAGTATGTGAGATTTCGCTGACACATGTTGACAATGTGCAACTGAAGCATTCAGTTTTAGTTCTTCAATCTTAGTTAAGAGATCTGACAATTTACTGGGTGCACAAGTGTGATATCTCTGAACTGGTGTCCCCTGAGGCTTTAACAGCTGTGCCTAGAATGTGTATTTAAGAAATATGCTTCATGAATATTAATATCCCAATACAGAGTCATCTTATCTGTAAGCAAGGGAGGTCTCACCTGGGTACAAGCGCCTGAAGGATGCACATTGCACACATTAGTAGGAAGGAGTGCTGGCTTATATTTTAATGTATTTAACCAATCTCTTTTCTAAATTGTGTCCTGCATCTGTTGAATGATTCCACTAAAACTTTAGAGCAGTGGTTCTCAACCTTTCTAATCCGCGCCCGCGACCCCTTAATACAGTTCCTCATGTTGTGGTGACCCCCAACCATAAAATTATTTTCATTGCTACTTCATAACTGTAATTTTGCAGTGGGAGGAGTAGTGCCATGTCATTGGTGTCAGTGGAAGGAGTAGTGCCCCATCGTTGGTGTCAGTGGGGGGAGTAGTGCCCCATCGTTGGTGTCAGTGGGGGGAGTAGTGCCCCATCGTTGGTGTCAGTGGGGGGAGTAGTGCCCCATCGTTGGTGTCAGTGGGGGGAGTAGTGCCCCATCGTTGGTGTCAGTGGGGGGAGTAGTGCCCCATCGTTGGTGTCAGTGGGGGGGGAGTAGTGCCCCATCGTTGGTGTCAGTGGGGGGAGTAGTGCCCCATCGTTGGTGTCAGTGGGGGGAGTAGTGCCCCATCGTTGGTGTCAGTGGGGGGAGTAGTGCCCCATCGTTGGTGTCAGTGGGGGGGGAGTAGTGCCCCATCGTTGGTGTCAGTGGGGGGGAGTAGTGCCCCATCGTTGGTGTCAGTGGGGGGAGTAGTGCCCCATCGTTGGTGTCAGTGGGGGGGAGTAGTGCCCCATCGTTGGTGTCAGTGGGGGAGTAGTGCCCCATCGTTGGTGTCAGTGGGGGGAGTAGTGCCCCATCGTTGGTGTCAGTGGGGGGGAGTAGTGCCCCATCGTTGGTGTCAGTGGGGGGAGTAGTGCCCCATCGTTGGTGTCAGTGGGGGGAGTAGTGCCCCATCGTTGGTGTCAGTGGGGGGAGTAGTGCCCCATCGTTGGTGTCAGTGGGGGGAGTAGTGCCCCATCGTTGGTGTCAGTGGGGGGAGTAGTGCCCCATCGTTGGTGTCAGTGGGGGGGAGTAGTGCCCCATCGTTGGTGTCAGTGGGGGGAGTAGTGCCCCATCGTTGGTGTCAGTGGGGGGAGTAGTGCCCCATCGTTGGTGTCAGTGGGGGGAGTAGTGCCCCATCGTTGGTGTCAGTGGGGGGAGTAGTGCCCCATCGTTGGTGTCAGTGTGGGGGGAGTAGTGCCCCATCGTTGGTGTCAGTGGGGGGAGTAGTGCCCCATCGTTGGTGTCAGTGGGGGGAGTAGTGCCCCATCGTTGGTGTCAGTGTGGGGGGAGTAGTGCCCCATCGTTGGTGTCAGTGGGGGGAGTAGTGCCCCATCGTTGGTGTCAGTGGGGGGAGTAGTGCCCCATCGTTGGTGTCAGTGGGGGGAGTAGTAGTGCCCCATCGTTGGTGTCAGTGGGGGGAGTAGTGCCCCATCGTTGGTGTCAGTGGGGGGAGTAGTGCCCCATCGTTGGTGTCAGTGGGGGGAGTAGTGCCCCATCGTTGGGTGTCAGTGGGGGGAGTAGTGCCCCATCGTTGGTGTCAGTGGGGGGAGTAGTGCCCCATCGTTGGTGTCAGTGGGGGGAGTAGTGCCCCATCGTTGGTGTCAGTGGGGGGGAGTAGTGCCCCATCGTTGGTGTCAGTGGGGGGAGTAGTGCCCCATCGTTGGTGTCAGTGGGGGGAGTAGTGCCCCATCGTTGGTGTCAGTGGGGGGAGTAGTGCCCCATCGTTGGTGTCAGTGGGGGGGAGTAGTGCCCCATCGTTGGTGTCAGTGGGGGAGTAGTGCCCCATCGTTGGTGTCAGTGGGGGGAGTAGTAGCCCCATCGTTGGTGTCAGTGGGGGGAGTAGTGCCCCATCGTTGGTGTCAGTGGGGGGAGTAGTGCCCCATCGTTGGTGTCAGTGGGGGGAGTGTGCCCCATCGTTGGTGTCAGTCAGGGGAGTAGTGCCCCCATCGTTGGTGTCAGTGGGGGGAGTAGTGCCCCATCGTTGGTGTCAGTGGGGGGAGTAGTGCCCCATCGTTGGTGTCAGTGGGGGGAGTAGTGCCCCATCGTTGGTGTCAGTGGGGGGAGTAGTGCCCCATCGTTGGTGTCAGTGGGGGGGGAGTAGTGCCCCATCGTTGGTGTCAGTGGGGGGAGTAGTGCCCCATCACTGGTGTCAGTGGGAGGAATAGTGCCCCATCATTGATGTCAGTGTGGTGGAGGGGGAGAAATAGTGCCCCATCATTGGGGTCAGGGGGGGGGGGGGGGGCAGGGGGGGGGAAATAGTGTCCCCCCATCGTTGGTGTCAGTGGGGGGAGGAATAGTGCCCCATCGTTGGTGTCAGTGGGGGGAGGAATAGTGCCCCATCATTGGTGTCAGTGGGAGGAATAGTGCCCCATCATTGATGTCAGTGTGGTGGAGGGGAGAATAGTGCCCCATCATTGGGGTCAGGGGGGGGGGGGGGGAATAGTGCCCCATCGTTGGTGTCAGTGGGGGGAGGAATAGTGCCCCATCGTTGGTGTCAGTGGGGGGAGGAATAGTGCCCCATCGTTGGTGTCAGTGGGGGGAGGAATAGTGCCCCATCGTTGGTGTCAGTGGGGGGAGGAAATACTGCCCCATCGTTGGTGTCAGTGGGGGGAGGAATACTGCCCCATCGTTGGTGTCAGTGGGGGGAGGAATACTGCCCCATCGTTGGTGTCAGTGGGGGGAGGAATAGTACCCCATCGTTGGTGTCAGTGGGGGGAGGAATAGTGCCCCATCGTTGGTATTAGTGACACAAATGATGGGGCACTATTCCTCCCACTGACACCAATGATACTTACCTTGCTGACCCCTGCTCCAGCCTGGGCTCGCTCTCTCACTTACCTGTCAGCTGTCTTCCTTCTCTGCCGCCTCTCCTCTTCACTCGCTCCCTCGGTCTTCTTTGATGTACGCGCGCTGCCGCTTGGCTCCTCCTCTCCAAGCTCCACCTCCTCGCCGGTGATTGGCCGCCTGTGTGCCTCTCCTGAGCTACAGTTCCGGTGGCCAATCAGCGGCGAGGAGGCGGAGCTGCTGAGCGATCCCGGAGGTGTGGCCGGGTGACAGCAGCGTATCATCCCGCCCACACATCGCCGGAGACTGCAGCGGTGTCTCGGTTCCTAAGACCATCGGAAATATGTGTTTTCCGATGGTCTTAGGCGACCCCTGGGAAATGGTCGTTCGACCCCCAAAGGGGTCGCGACCCCCAGGTTGAGAACCGCTGCTTTAGAGGAACCTGATTACCATGTGTGCATTAGTTATACAGAATTGCATGATATTTTATTAATACTTCATCTTGTGTATTATAAAGATAGTCTACTGTATATAAACAGGATTTGACATCACAGTTTTAGACAACACTCTTATGCAGAAGGGGATTTAAAGAAATTCGTCAAATGAAGCACAGCCTACCTGTTCAGTAATTCAGAATTTCCATTTGACCTTGATGTAGTGCACCAGGCTATTTCACCCCCTTTTGTCTTAATTTGATATTCTACCTGGAACACTCCCTTTTCTGCCTTTCACATACAGGTATCCTGATACAAAAACAATCCTGGAACACTGTTTCTTCCAGCCCCAATCTGCTTTAGAAGCTTGAATGTAAATGGTGATGCAGGAAGCAGAGATGGAGGATGGAGGATGCTATACAGCACATGCTTCTGAAAGTACACACCTATTGCTCTTTTTCTAATGACACTGCAAGGTGGTCTGTGTACAGTGACTGTGGGAAGTTATAGAGAACTCAGATTCAAGTAAATTCTGTGCAATTTTGGGTTTCAAAACAGTTGGTTTTGCATTAGTAGCACACTGGTTTCATATGCCACAGGTGCTGCCACCAATTTGACATCTGTCCAGAGCACACTGTCTACATTAGGGGTTGTGCACCCACACCTGCATGGGTGTCACCAGAAGTCTCAAAAAATGTAGCCGCCCTTTTGAGAGCCTGTGGCATAAGAATACGTTTCAGAATGACTGCAACCAAAATAAATCTGCCCTCCAAAAATACAATTCCTGCCTCCATACTGCCAAGCAAACCTATTTCACCACTCTCATCAACAACTTCTCATCCAGTCCCTGTCAACTCTTTTCTACCTTCTACTCTCTTTATTGTCCTCCACTGCCTCTACTCACTGCCCAGGAGATCACCAATCACCTAAAAAATAAGACTGATACAATTTGTGAGAAGATTTCAACTGTGCAGATACCTCTCCCACTTAACACTCCATGTCCACAGGCACAATCATTACTCCCCTCATACAATCCCACTACCCTAGACGAGGTTGCTAAACTTTTTCTAATGCACACCTAACCACCTTCTCCCTGAACCCTGCTCCCTCTCAAATACTGTGGTCACCCTCTGGCTCTATTCTACACTCTCTAACTCACATCTTCAATCTCTCCCTCTCTTCTGGCATCTTTTTCAACTCTCTAAAACATGCTCTAGTCAACCCCATACTTAAAAAGCCTTTCTTGGACCCCATCAGTCTTAATCTGCACCTTATATCTTTGTTCCCCTTTTCCTCCAAACTCCTTGAACGTCTGGTCTACAACCAAGCACATTAAAGCGAAGTTCCACCTGAAAAAATAAATAAAAGTCAGCAGCTACAAAAACTATAGCTGCTGACTTTTAAAATACAGATACTTACCTGTCCCTCAGTCCAGCGATGTCCTCACCACCGCTGGTTTCACCGGCACTCTTCTCTCCCTGGCACTGGCATCTTTAGTGTGGGCACCCGGCTGTTACAGCTTGCGGCTTCACAGCCAGGTGCCCACTGTGCATGTGCGAGAAGCGCTGCACTTTCTGAATGGCCCCGTAGTCTTCTGGGACCTGTCACATGTCCCAGAAGACTATGGGGAGGGAGGACAACTTCCGCTTCTGATCGCCTAGGCGAAGTGTGTGCGGGTACCTGTCAAATTCGGGTACCCACTGCCCAAAGGTGCCAATCCTTAATGGAGAGCGGGGGCCAAAGCATTAAAGCAGAACTTCCCCTTTTGGGTGGAGGATAAAGAATAACCTTCTTTATCACCTTCAGACTGGATTTTGTTACAGAACCTGCTCTCATAAAACTCACAAACGATTTACTAACAGTTAAAACCAATGGACATTACTCTATACTCTTACTTCTAGACCTTTTGGCTACCTTTGATACATGGACCACCCCTTCCTCCTCAAAAATATCCACTCCTTTGGTCTCCGTGATTGTACTCTTTGTTGGTTATCATCCTACCTATCCCAACACACCTTCAGTGTCACTTACAATTCCACTTCCTCCTCTCCTTTCTCCATTGGGTTCCCCTAAGGTTCTGTTCTTGGACCTCTCCTATTCTTGATCTACATCTCCCCCTGGGTCAGCTGAGAGCCTCCCATGGTTTTCAGCATCATTTCTATGCTGACAACACCCACATTTATCTCACTGCCCCTTGGCCTATAACATCAATCTCCTCATACATCACTAATTTACTGTCTAACATATCACTCTGGATGTCACACCACATCTTTAAACTCAAGTTATCCAAAACCAAACTCATAATTATTAAGGAAAGATCAATGGCATAGCCATCAACCCATCCCCCAGTGCCAGGGTGCTAGGTGTAATCCTAGAATCTGAACTCTCCTTTCGGCTCCACATCCAATCACTGTCCAAAGCTTGCCATCTCAGCCTCTGCAACATCTTCAGAATACGCCCCTTCCTAACCAATGACACCACAAAGCTTCTAACTTACTCTCTCATCTCTTGCCTTCGACAACTACAATTCCCTTTTCTTTGGATTACCTCTACATAGGCTATCCCCCCCCCCCTTCAGTCTATCATCAATGCTGCTACCAGACTTGTTCACCTTACCAACTGTTCAGTGCCTGCTACCTACCCCTCTCTAACAATCCTTCCATTGGCTGCCACTCACCCTACAAATTAAATTCAAAATACTAACAATAACTTAAAAAGCTATCCACAACCTAGCCCCCAGCTACATCCCAAACCTAGTCTTACAATACCAACCAAATCGTTCTCTTCATTACTCCCAAGACCTCCTGTCCTTTAGCTCCCTTGTCACCTCCTCCCATGCTCACCTCCAGGACTTTTCCCGAGTCTCTCCCATTCTGTGGAATTCCCTACCCCAATCTGTCCAGCTATCACCTACTCTGTCCACGTTTAGGCACTCCCTGTAAACCCTTCTCTTCAGAGAAGCCTATCCCACATCACTTAACTATACTTTGACTTTCACCATCAGTTCCTCCCCCACATTTATTACATTTGGTATTAATTAACCCTTCCTTTTAGATTGTAAGCTTCAATGAGCAAGTCCCTCAGATTCCTCCTTTATTGAATTGTATTGTAATTGTACTGTCTGCCCTCATGTTGTAAAGCGCTGTGCAAACTGTTAGTGCTATTAACTGTAAATCCTGAATAATAATAATTATAATGTCAAGTTGGGAGCAGTGTCTGTGTCCATGCAGCTGCTGCATCTCAATTGACATGAATGGGACTGTCTGCACTGGGATGCATAGAAAACCTGTGCATTCTTGTGTGGTCAAACACGACCCTCACACTGCTTTGTAGTACAACCACTGCTTGACATCGATTTGCAGCTAGCACTTTAATCACTAGAATTGCTGGCAATTTGCTACAGTATTGGGTTGTGCTCTACTATAAATCAGTTTGCACAAGAGATGTGTAGTTAAACATAGCAAATGCTGCAACATTTCATAGAAAAGCATTAAAAGTGATTGCTGCTACCACTTTTCCCACTGAGCAAAAATGCTGATGGATCTCAATTACTCAACGACAAAAGGGAAAATCAAAGTTACTTTAACAATTTTACTGTTATTGATTCCACTGAAAATCATTGTGATTTTCTTAGTGACAAATGGCTGTAACAAAGCAGGAGGGGAAGGGGAGTTATTGTTGAAAGACAAGTCAGCCTTATGCAGGGTATACATGGGTCGAATTCCGAACAAATTTTCTTTAGAAAATCCAAAATTTTGTGCATTTTGTAATGCGATGGGGCCACCATTGATTTCAAAATTCAACCAACCAAGCCTTCAATTTCTCCTCATATTGCTACAGAAAAGAATTTTCTTTTTTTTCCAGTTCACAGCTTTATATTTCTCGCACAATTCTCCCATCATTGATTCGAAATTTGTTTGTTTTTCAAAAAATGTCCAACATGCCCGATCACTCAAATTTGATCGGCACACAAAAATCGCACATTTCTGTGACCCATTAATGATGCCAAATTCTAACGAAAATTCTTAGAAAAGGTTTTCAAAAGAAAATTCTTTCAGAATTCGATGCATGTATGGCCGGCTCTAGGCTGGCCATACACTATACAGTTTTCCTGAGATTTTTGCTTTAGATTTACCAAAAACCATGTACTATGAGGTCAAACCTAAACAACACTTTTAATTGTATCTAATTGTATACTAATTAGGTAAATCTAAAGGAAATTGGGCAAAAATTTAACAGAAATTTGTAAGAAAAGTGTATATTGAATGGTCAGCCCGAGGCTGGCCATACATTATACAATGTTCCTGAGATTTTTGCTTTAGATTTACCAAAAATCATATAATGTGAGGTCAAACCTAAGCAGCACTTTCAATTCTAATTAGGCAGGCCCTTGCACTAAATAGTGGAAGGTACATCTAAAGGAAATTGGGCAGA